CGACTAGTGCTTTTCCGGGAAACGAACGGACATATCTTTAAATATGCAGCTGATGGTTTTCGGGAGGATGTGGACGCGCAGGCGTGTTGCGGTGTGGGTGGATTTTGGGGCCCCGCGTGAACAGGGCGGCGTTTCTATGATGAGGAGGTCTTTGATACGCCACATGGACCAGGACACATCGCACCTTCTGCGTTTGCTGTGATCGCATTTTTTCGGATGATACGTTGTAACAGCCAGCTACATCTCTCCCAAATCGGTCGTAGTCGCGTTTTGCAGTTGTGTTTATGTATTTAAGGTCTCTCGGCGCTGATCAAGGGTCTCTTTGAAGCTTTTATGTAATGATCCGCTCTAGCAAGGAATATTCTGGACTCTTGTCTTAGCTGAGAACCAGTTTCCAATCAAGGCGTCACCTTTGGAAATGCTTCTTCCTCCGTTGGATACAACTTGCCCTGACGATCATTTGTGAATAATAGCCTACTTCGCATCATATTGTCTGTAGATCTATCCCGCAGGGGTCTTTCACATAAAGGATGGGGATCTGATTAAACAGCAGAGGCTGCCCACCTCCTCGATCATTTCATCATTCGTTCACCGAATACAGATTTGACGTTAATGTTTCGCCAGGAGGTTGGCGTCCTGTCTTTTATTCCGACTTGTTCGTACCTCTTCCAATACGAACAGAGGAACATGTCTCGGTATAATATCTACAGTCTGCTGGACTGGATGTATGGAGGGGTGGACCCCATGTTTGAGGGCAATGGAGGGCCTGAGTGCGCAGCCTTCCTCTCTCCCCGGCAGAGAATATTTGAGACTCTGATCATTGTGTTCATTTCTATCCTGGAAGTGGTGGTGGCTATCAAAAAGATCAATGTCCCTAAAGAGGTCAGAGATGTGCGGAAAGATGGCAGGAGGAGTAAGGAAGACACCTGGGGCAAGAACCTGTTGCTTGTGGCTCTGTGCATGACTTTTGGAGTTGAGGTTGGGTTTAAGTTTGCCACAAAGACTGTGATCTACCTCCTCAATCCATGTCATGTGGTCACAATGGTGCAAGTAAGTATGTTTATGATAAAATCATGAAAAGTAGCCTATTGGGTGGGTGTGGTTATGCGTTTGTTGCAGAAGATATGGGCTGATGATGACTGAAAGGCTGTAGTTTCAAAATCCCATGAACACAACATTCAATTTCAGATTGCTTAAGTGTGCTGCACCTGTGAGTAGTATACGTTGCTTTGGGTAAATTAGTAGTACACTGTAAAAAAAATTCTGTAAAATTTACGTTAAAAAACCGGCAGCTGTGGTTGCCGGAATTTTACCGTAAACGTTTCCAAGCTTTGAATGTCATTGCTTGCACCACTAATTTAAGAAATATGTTCTTACATGGCGTAACACATATAGGTGCAATCCTGAACTTGTTCTCATTTGCAGTTCCTCTCTTACGGTTATCTGGCTCGCAAAACATAGGAAGGAAATTAGAGTTTAAAAGAGAGATACGTTCTAAAAAGGAGGAAGTGTTGTCATTTTTTTGTGCCGCTTTTTTGCAGCTGTTTAAACTGATGTACATTGTTCAAGTAAGTTTAGATGAACCAGCTGAAAGAAGAAGAATCGGTTTTATATTCAGTCTTTATTTTTAAAATATAAACATGAAAACGAAATGGAATGCTAATTCAAGAATCTCACAAAGCATGTCAAAAACATGTCTGGGTCATATTACATTCCAAAATTATTAACGCTGTTAATTCTTAGTCTGTAAAGTGGAATATGTATTTAATATTTTAATGTATAATATTTAAAATTGTTTACACATGGTAGTATCATTTGTTGTACTGAATTTAATTTATGCTGATTTACATGATGGTGTATTAACATACTATACTCTAATGGGGGTGTTTTTAATCATTAATAATCTTAATGATTTAAAAAAAATGTGTTTTTTTTGTGAAGAGTGAAACCAGGTATGAACATCCAAAGGAACTTTCCATTAGCAGAAGAGTCTTTGTTCTTTGTGTTTGGATGTCTCAGCACAGCAGTAGCTAGACTTTTCATATGAATTAAATGTAATATCAGTTCAAATCGCAACATATGCCAGAGATTAATTTAATTTCAGGGGGTACAAGTAAATAATATTTCACTTCTAAGGGTTTCGGTTGACAAAAAAAATAAAATTTTAGGTTCCCTTGACCTAGATTAATAAATACTGTTTAAGCACAGTAATGACCTAGTTACAGAATTGTTACAGTTAAATTCACCAATACAGTAACACTATTAATAAACATTAATAGTAACATAAATCTTTGTTAAAATACCTTTAATTATTAATAAAACTCTGTAATGATAATATTATATAACATTATATATAATAATAAAAATAGAAAATTGCCTCATGCAAACCTTTGGTCTTGATATTCTCATATTTGTTGCACGTTTATGGTCATTATAGCGGTCTGTTACTGGCTACTGTAACAGGTTCATGTTTCAACCTGCTAAAAGACTATTGTTATTTTAGAGCTGCTTTACAGCAGAATTTTGATTTGACAAAGTTTGCATCATTGATTCTATTGCTTCCCTGTTTACCGTAAACGCTGTTTTGAAACCGTCTCTATTGCATAATGCACTATACAAATAAAGCTGAAGTAAAATAAGTAGCACCATGAAATCACCAGTGTTGCTTTATTTGATATCACCATTTAAATCAGGTGTAAATATTTGATATATTGCCCAGCCTACTCGGGCATAAGCATTTTTAATTTTTTATTGTCCAGCTTTTCTAGGTGAGGCTTTCCCATATAATAAGCAACTAGATAAATCCTGGATTCCAGCTCCAGACTGCCCGTCTTTTGCCAGGCTTCAAATATGCATAAACTCGGCATGTGTTCTCAAGCACAGTACGCCATAGTAACTCTATGGTTCCACTTATGTCAATAAACTTATGTGTGCAAGTCATACAGTATTTGAACAAGGCCGCAGGCTTATCATTTGGTAAATATTAGTCCATATTACGGAATAGTGGGGAATTGTCAACAGTCTCAATGGAACTCACACACAAACAATTTGCAAAACCAATAATAACAATAATACACAGGGAGATATGGGGAAATTAACATGCTTTTCAAATCCTTCAGCGCATACAGAATGTAATGAAACATTATACTGTAGCAATAGCAAACATATTGTCACAATATTTTCTCCTCTGCCTTGTGAAAAGCAAAGCAATCTAAATGTCAAGGTCATGATTGCCTACGAAACATGAGATGATGCACCAATGATGTTTGCATATATTTGATTATGTGCAAACATGGATGATGTTTTGATGCATTGATGAAGCAGAAAATTAGGAGTGAATAATAACTACAGTCTGTTCATGAGAAAGTTATCAATAGCTCTCTATTCACTTTAGTTATATGGAAAAGAGCATGCACATTCTGATACATTTCTTTTGTGTGTGTGTGTGCCTACTTAACCATATTTTGGGGACAAATTTGTACCCAAAAGTGAGCAAAACTTGACAAAATCGCCAAAAACCTCCATTTGGGGACTTCCTCATTTGTAAAACTGGTATAAAAATAAAGTAAACACAGTTTTTTTTTTAAATTGTAAAAAAGCAGAAAGTTTTCTGTGAGGGGTAGGGGTGGGTTTAGGTTAAAAAGTATATAACTATCTGTATGTAAAAACAATAGAAGTCTATGTAATGTCCCCATTTAGATAGCTAAGTAAACGTGTGTGTGTGTGTGTGTGCGCCAGGAAAGACAGAAAAAAAAATGGTTTGAAACAACATGAGGTTGAGAAAATCATGACTTAATTTTTTATTTTGGCTTAATTCCTTTAACCAGCAGAAAGGACTTTTCATATTTTTAAAAATGTAATATTTCTTTAAAATTACTCGTGCAGTAATTTTGGTGTAGTGACGTTTCTGATTTATGAGGGAGATAGTTGCATAGACATCTTTTTTTTTTTTTT